AGTTTTAATTCCCTCTCTATATCTAGCAGAATTACTCAACTCCAATATGTAGCTTCCACTAATCAGTCAATACTTTCTTCCAATCCAATTGTCTTTCTGAATTCTGAAGTCAATACTGCTTCTGCGCAATCTATTATACTCTTTAACAGTCTTCAAATCAGCACAACAGTACCTTCATATTTGAACCAAAATATAATACCAATCAAAAGCCACAGTATTAATTACATTCTCCAAAAGTTGTCTTATGCAGCTATACTCAAAACCAAACTCAATAACACAAAAATTTGGTTTATCGAACAATTGTTCAATAGTGACTTTTCAACAATATTTACTTGGCAATATCTACCACAAAATACTCAAAAAATACTGAGAGGAAGGAAGCCTAAATAGTATTTTACCATTATTCAAGCTGTACAAGATTATACTACCAACAACAACCTTAACTTTTAACAGTCTAATTATTTTATTACCTAACAACTAATTACTAAAGGATCATGGATTATAAGTATTGAAAAATCAGAGCCAATAATTAGCAGGGTTTCAACTGTTATTAGTCAATCTAAGATAAAAATTAGACACTATAATTTTCAACATTCGAATGACCTTGTAGTGAGATGCAATGGATGCGAAGATTCCATAGGCCACAACTTTTGTACAAAAATCTTATTAACCTCAAAATGTTATAGAATACAGATTAGTAGCCACAACAAAATATATACTGATCTGGATGATATCCTTAATTGTGCTCAAATATACAAAGCAAAAGCTCTAGTTACATATGATTATCTAAGCTATAGCGAACCAAAATTAGCAAAATATAATAACACTCAAATAACAAAACAATTTGCTTGTAACACACACTCTGAAACAACGCTCTTAAATATAAATGCAAAAACTAAATACTTCAGTCAATTACAAATAGAAATTAATTACTTAACAAACAAGACACAGCAAGCAGAAACCTCACATACCACTTGGTTGATAAAAAATACTCAAGAGAATTATTATTTAAAAACCAAGTCTTGGCCATCAAAAAACTATAGCTTTTTTATAGCAATTCTCTCATCACTTCTAGTTGCTAAAAACAACTGCACTATTGAAATATATACTAACAATAACTCCTTAATTAATAACTATCATCAGATTCAGTCACTTGCCTTCAACAAAGCTACATTAATCAACAATAAATATGGAGACTTATGGATCCTTATCCTTACGATTAAAGCACAGAAAGATATCAACTTAATCTTAATGCATAAAGAGATTACAAAATATAGCAAAGAGTTAACAACAATCCTAGTTAATTCTTCTAATATCACTTTAAGACATGATACAACACGTATTTTGTGGAACAACTCAGCAATCATTCATAAACCGAGATACTTTGTCAGACATCTATATAATGTAGCACATATAGCAGAACTAAGCTCTCAACGAAGATTTGATGAGATCAACAATTTTCACTCAGAACTTGACTGGTCCACGATAATAGCGATAATAAACTTTAATTGTATGCCAAACACTCGATCCACTCATCCAACTCAATCTAAAATCAAGGCATTCAAATTTAAATTTTTAACTAATGAGCTACCGACTATAGAAAATCTGCACAAAAGATACCCAACTAAATATGATAATGATATATGCAAATGATGCTATATCTCAAAAGAAAATAACTTGCACTGGTGGAATTGTCCTGCAAACAAAACTAGCATCCATCAAGTTATAGAAGAACAAGTCACAAAAACTTTTAACAAATATGAATGCATGGATATAAATATTCAAAACGAAACAAAAAATTTATTGCTCACTAATATTGATCCAAGTTCAACATATCAAATATATCCTTGTCAAGGATATATAACTAAATATATTATTGATCTTATAGATACGAACACAAAAAAGAATTCAAAACATAAAGTATCTGAAATTTTAATTCACAGAATTATCAAAAATATATACAATAAGATTTGGCTACCTAGATGTGCAGAAATAAACGAACGAAACAATAAAGACTAGCTCATCTAATACACAGTTAATCAAGACTTGAACACACTACAAGAATCTATCGAAGATCTACCTAAAGAAAAACTAAATAGAATAATAAATAGAATTAAACAATAGTCAAATGAATTTCAAAACCTTAATAGCTCTCCAAAGTCTATCTTTAATTTCATAGACTAGATGAGGTCTCTAGCTTTCTCTAGCAGAGCCCAGGCTGAGGGTAAAGTAGTCCTAGCTTTTAGTTTTAAAAAACAGTCTGTAATAACTATAATGTATATGACTCTACAGTTGTTATAAATAAAAACTGAGACAAGGCCTCTCTCTATAAAAAAAAAAAAAAAAAAAAAAAAAAAAAAAAAACACACCAAATTTTTTCTAACTAAATTTTTTTAAAACTTTAAACTCAAATAACTTAGCAAGAACTTAACTATATTTAATAAATTTTTTTTTAAATTAATTCTAAATCTTATAGAATTTATTTAAAAAAATTTTTATTAAATTTGAATAATTTTTTGTCAAGTTATCTTTGTTTAAAGTTGCAAAAATATTTCACTAAAAAAGATTTAGTATGTTTCTATTGACTTACTTCTATATAACTACTCTAATAAAAATTATTTCTGAAGTTAATTAGAGCTCTGTATATTCATAATATATTAGACAATATATATTTTAAGAAGATCTAAATTATGTTAAAAAAAGATCTACAAGCAAGTTAATTAGCTTAAGCAATTAAATATAGTAGTAAAATTAATTGATATTAGGAATAGATTAATAATCAGAATATTTAAATAGATAATCTATAGACAGATTGCAAGTATAGCAATATAGTATAGAATTAAACAGATAGTCTAATATCTGTATAATAGACTATTTAAATTAGATAATAACTAAAGTTATACATTTAGCTTATTATATACTTATTATGTAATTATAAACTTTAAAAGAAACTATATATATAACTTTATAATAAAAATTAATAAAATCTAATTAGCTAAGAAAGCAACTTTAATAATAATAAAAAATAAAAAATAAAAGTTTAAGTTTAAATCTAATAATCTAGTATAGTAATTAGATTATTAGATTATTATATAATAGATCTGAAGTTCAAATCTTACTATCAACAAATTTAAGAGTAGAAGATATATAGATTATTTTTTATATAATCTTTGTAATACTATATAATTTTAATAAAAATAAATCTAAGGTCTAGTAATCTTAGTGCAGTGGTTAGATTGCCAGACCACTATACAAGAAGTCTGGGGTTCAAATCTCACTGTTGACAAATTTGAATAATTACTCAGACTTTTGTACCTAACTTACAGTAAACCTTGTCTGTTTCTGGAGTTGTAACCCTGTAAATAATATTGCACTAATATCATTCAAATATTAAAAGTGTAATAAGGTATTTGGTAAGATATAATATTATACAAATAAATCTTAATAGGATTTATAAGCAAGGGACTTACATGGTAGAAATCCTGAGTTAGTAAAGTAATACGGCTTTCAACAGTCACACTAGCTAATACTTGATCTAGAAAAGAAACTATTATCAAAAGATGCAGATCGAGTCAGGTGCACATAAATCTGTTTCACAAGGAGAATCAGTAACACCAATTTGGCTTGGCAGCTAACTAGATTAGAAGGATCTGCCTTGTGAAACATCTAAGAAGATAGAATACAGAAAACTAGTAGAGAGCCACAGTAGGAACTGAAGTTGTACAAATATCTACAAGGGTCTAAGCTATGGTGCGATTGGCTTTAAATCTCCATAAAAAATAACTTTACAAAAAATACTACTATTCTTTTAAAAATTTATAAAATATAAAACTAATCCACAAGATTTGTTCTTTTTGTTCTAAAGAATAAAACTTGTGGTTTAGATTTTAATTTATAGCTAAACTGGTAAAGCAGTAACCTTTTAAAAATTAAAAAAAATTAACAATTTATTAATAAATTGTAAAAATGTGAACATATATGTTTTTAATTTAAACCAATCAGAATGCACTATTACGCTCACATAATATCGAAATTATCACTAAAAACTCAAGTCATGTAATTTATACAATAGCTAATTTTACCAATAGTTTATTATACGGCTTTTTTTTTGTCGTTGAGCTAGCAAGTAATATAACAATTAGATGCTACAGCTGTAATGCAAACCTAGGCTTTTGGTGGCCATCCTGTAAATCTTGTAATAGTGTGTATTGAATGAGGAAAACTATATAAAATTTACAGGTTGTTTCTTTGCGACACTCAGGGTGCTCTCAAGCATATCTCAATGTAATTGGCTAGTTATAGAGATCGTATACAAGTACAATAATAAATTGAAGTAATCTGGTAATTTTGTCAAAGATTCATGTTGCGAAATGTAGATAATAAATTTTGGCCAATCAGCACAACACTATGATAAAAAAAAGATGGTCTCAAACTATCTTTTTTTTCATCATGATAATGAACTCTCTTGACTGAATAATTTATTTTTCACTAATCAATTTAAGTGCTTGAGAGCATCCTCAATATATGTAGATTGGTCATTGAATACATTTTGATTTCATTTTTATTTAAATGTAACATTTTTAAATACTAAGCACTATATTATAATAGCAAGATTAATGAATTTAATATTAATTTATGCCCTTATGTGTCAGATAAGATCGATTTAGTTGGGGTTCAAAAGCCAACTTATTATATTTGAATTATTTTGAGATTTAAAAAACTATGTATGTTCGCAATACAAACGAAATATAAATTCAATTTTTAAATATTTAAATTCGATATCCGTTAAAATTGTAATAAACATAAGATTTCATTATTAATTAATAATTTATTCAGCTTACAATAAATAATAAATAAAATTAAATATTTACTATTTAATGCGTTCTATAGTCCTATCTAATTGTCAAATCGATTTTCTAAAAAAAAACATGATTAATTAAATTACAATATGCGTGCAAAAAAAGTATTGATTTTCAAATTCATACCTTTTCAGTATCATAATGCCTCGCCCAAATGCCAAATCTCGTGTTGCATCTAGCAAGACCCGTAATAAAGCTGGTATCTTTGTAGCTAATCATAAAGATATAAATGATATAGAAGAAAACATGAATATTCTGGAAGACTGTGATTTATTCGAAATAACACATGACAGCTTTCAAAATTATGCATTAAAAGCTATAGAATGGCATGAAAAAGCTGATAAAAAATTGAAATCTACTTTTTATACTGGTACAATTGAAAGCTATTTTGATACTTCAGCATTGATTTTTGATATAAAACCGCTGAGGTACTACAGCGGTTTCATATCAAAAATCAATGTCGAAATACTAAAACAGTTTCTACAAAATGTATATCTTAAATCTTTATACCAATAATAAAATTTTAGGAAACTCAAGAACAAACCTTTGGAAAAAAAGGAAGGCCCAGGAACAACTTCAACACGAAGCTAAACAGATGCGAACTCTTGATGAAATGTAGAGCATAAAGGCACAAGATAAAGGAAAAGTATCAGCCCTATTATACTGTGAAGATATTTTAGCCCAATCTAAACGACAAATGCAACGAATAGAGGAGCATTATAATGAATTAAAAAATCAACTTCAAAGTCTTCAAAATGCTAAAAAAAATTTAGCTAAATCACAACCTTATGAAGTACAAAGGTTGATATCTATTTTTCATTATTATAGGTTATCACTAGACAGTGAAAAAAAAATAAGTGCATCAGAAAAAATTGCAAATACTTTATGAAAGGATATTCGGAATGCAGAATATATATCTTGTTGTATTAGAGGATGGGCAAAAAACTTTCTTGAACAAGGTACTTTATCTAAATATAGTGATCCGAATTGGTAAAAATTTTGCTAATCGATTAGTTGTCAACTATAATTGCAACTAATCGATTGACTAGACCACGTGACCATATTAGTTGGTTAGTTGTTAAGTTGTTTAGTTGGTAAGTTGGTAAGTTGATTAGTTGGTAGTTGCTTAGTTGCTTAGTTGTTTAGTTAGTTGTTTGGTTGTTAAGTTGGTTGGTTGGTTAGTTGGTAATTGTATTACCAATAATAAATTATCAAATAAAACAAAATCTTAACAACGCTTATAATAAGAAATGTATAAACTAGTAAAATCAATTAACATTCAGTTTCGATTGTATATTAATAATGAATATAGGTATTACAATAGCTATAAAATTCCGAGCATTAAGTGAAGTAAATTTCGACACAAAGGTTAGCTATAGTAAATTAGGATGAATGCTATAATAATGGTTTATGGAAGGTATTCATTATATACTGTATATGCGATGGATTGTTATCCTTTGTTAAAGAAATAGCCTACTCTTATATACTTTTCATTCAATATGAAAGTAACTTCTTATTATAGGCAACGTGAATAGTATAAACATCAAATATTCTGACAATCTGTATAATAACTATAGCGATAGATAAAAAAAAGTAGTTATATTAAAGGAAAATAGTAAACTTTTACAATCGTGACAGCTAGTCCCATTAAACACAATAAGTTTATTCACGAGCTGAGTTCATTTTTAGAATAATTTCTAAGATTTTCTATGTATTTACCGTATTAAAACCATTTTCATTCGAATTGATTATTTCATTTCTGAGATTCTAATGTTTTAAAATTATTTTATGATAAACAAAATGAACTTCGTGATCTTTTCAATAAAAGTCAACTTAAGTTTTCAATTACTATGGATGATATTGTGTTAAAATAATTGGATTCTCATTTAGAACATTTGTCAGTGCGAATAGAATATATAAGATCCTAATCATCGTGCAAGGATAAAAAAAAATTAATAAATAATAAAAATTAAAGACCATAAAGTATATATAAGTTATAAACTGTATATATCAAATGATTTTTTATAACGATCTTTATACTTACAACCTACAATATACAATTAAAACGAACAAACAAAAAACCCACGAAATTCATGCAAATTAAATTATTCGAATACAACTATTTAAAAATAGATAATACATAAATTTAAATTTAAATTTAAATTTATGAATTAAGCAAAAAAATTTTTATACTCACAAGACTAATATAAATTAAATAATTCAAAAAACTCTATTTAAAAGTAAAATATTTATTGAATTATTATAGTTGAAATAGAAGAATAAATGTCGCATCTGAAGCTGAGAATTGGGTCTCAATTCGAACATATAAACCCTACTAAAATGTCATACTCTTTTATTAATAAACCTAATAATAAATCCTAATATAACTCAAAAAACTACAATTGCTGCAATTGCTCCAAAAAACTTTGATTCATTTCTAGCTTAAGCTGCAAAAAACTAATCTTATGCTCACCAAATGAATATAAATTGAATGACCGGATAAGCACTATTAAGGTAATAATTAACAGTTTAAAAATTGTAAAATTTTTGAATTGGATAATAAATTTAATTTTTATACTACACCAAAATAATATATATTATATGACTCAATAAGCGATTTGGAGGGTGCTATTTAAAGAAAATTCTTATAAGCATTCATTTTGAAAGATTAAATAAATAATAGGGATCTTAATGCATACTCAAGTAATACGAATTGAAAGGTACGAGATGCGTAAGAACTATTTAAATAAATACCTATAAGCTTAGCTTGCAAATTTAAATAGAATAGTAAAAAAAATTATTATACTCGCCAAATTTATATGGGATATACGACCTGGAAACGCTGTTCAATAATATAATAATATTTATATTTATAAATTTGAATTGTAAAAAATTTAAATATAAAACATAATCTTTATACCCATTAAATTAATATGACCTAAATGAATAGAAAGTTTTGTAAAGTTATAAAATTTAAATAAATAAATGATAATCGATCACAAACTAAAATAGAACACGATAAATACTTACACAGATTTAAAGTTCATAAGTTAAATATCTATAAATTGCTTAATAGCGAATATTATGAGTTAAAGCTATATTTAAATATGAAGGCACTGGGAGTATATAATAAGGTAAATAATATATGATTTTATTTAGTATATAATAATAAAATGTTCAATACATAGTAATTAGATTTTATCAAATAGAAAAAACGCTAATGCGGCTAATATTTTTTTTAAGAAATACCAATCGATTTAATAATTTAGGATCAAGTCTATTACGCTTATCCGTTACATGATTGCCAGTGTCGGAAAATAGACGTTCCGACGGTACAGAAGAAGCGGGCACTGCAAGATATCGCCTCGCTAAGATAGCCAAAGTAGGAAAGAGGGCTTTATGTTGACGCCACCAATCTAAAGGACAAGATCCTTTTAAAAAGGAAAACAAAAGAAAATTGAGTTTTAAATTTCAGGTATAAGAGAATTTCTCTTATTGGCTATTACAAATAAGTTATACTGTTATTATCTAGAATTTAGAGTAATATCTATACCAGTAGAGAATATCTGAAAAAAATTTTGTATTTTAGTAGTGTTTGTAGTCGATTTGGCTTTAGCCGATAAAACCGACTTAGTCAGCTAAGTCAGTCGATTTTTTAAAAAATCGATTTAGTAGATTCAATTAAAAACTTGGCCAAGTATATAGTAAATGGTCGGATGATTTCGGAGAGCTAGTCATTAAAACAAGGTACAGGTGTGGGTGCAGAAAAAATTCAGGATATTTCATTTTTATATAGGAAATCGACTTAGCTGGCTAAGTCAATTTTTAAATATCAGCTTGGTCGAGTCGATAAATTTTGGTCGACTACAAACACTAATTTTTTGAGAACATAAATTTTAATTTTAGGTTCTCAAAAAACTTTTTAATGTTCTTAAAAAATTTTTAATGTTCTCAAAAAAATTTTTATAATTAAATTTCAAATTTTATGTTCTTGAATGTTCTTATAAAGAGAACATATATTTTAAATTTAATGTTCTCAAAATAATATTTGATGTTATTGAGAACACTGAAAACATCAGATATTCTTCACTGATCTATACCATATTCTAAATAAAATCATTTTTACAAACAACTAGATAATATCAAAGAAAACTAACCATCATCAAGAGAAACTTCGGGTACTTCACAATAACGGTCAAATTCATCAGGCTCATTCCTTAAGTTTTCTGTTCGTAAATGCATAAAAAATGCTGACATTTTAAGTTTTTTACGTTGGTGTGAAAATGTTGTATTTTCTTCATTAGGAGTTTGTGTTGAATCATCATTAACGGTTTGTAAACATAGTTCATTAAATTGCTAACGCATATTATGGATTGTTATACGGCGTAAATTACTAGTACAGAAATTTAATTTTTTGAATCGCGGGTCAAGGAAGGAGCAGCACATGCCTATTTCACTTGGATCTCCCCATCGTTCAATTAAGTTATCTAAAATTGTGTCTTTAACCAGAAATGCTTCATTCTTTTGTCCAGAAAAGAACTTAAGTCGGCGGGCAAGCTCTTCTAAAAGTGGAGTCATAAAGCCTAGTGTAGGGTATTTGGATCTGCTTAAAAATTGTGTTGCGTCATCGAAGGGAGAAAGAATCTCAATGAGTTCTTCCAATATTTCAAATTCTTCTAAAGAAGGAATAGAAGAACTCATGGTTTCCGCTCCTCTTCTAACCTCTCTAAGAGTATGATTAATAAGAGTTGAGTATAAATGCATAATAGCAGGTTTTAAATGCACAAGACGTTTAATAGCAAAAAAGGTGGAGTTCCATCGGGTATCAATATCTTTAATAACATCAAGTAGATTTTTTAAAACTAGATTAATTTGCAACTGTGCTTCACGAAGTTGCTTTCTTTTTTTTTCTTTAGACAAAATAGAAATAAGGTCTTTACACTTTGAAATAAGGCTATCAACTTCTTTTAATCCTAAATTTACACTCAATTGAAGGGTATGTCCTGCACATTTTACATTAGTAATACCCATTTCTCGCACTGCAGCTTTTACATTTTGACCATTATCTGTAGTAATAGAAAAGACCTTTTGACTATTAATATTAAATTTATTAAGAACAGAATTAACCAACTCAACTATATCAGATGCATAATGTTCATCCAACTCTCCAACTTCAAGAACAATCTCATACAAATCAAAGAATTCTGTAAGCCAGTGGCAAGTGATTCCAAGGTAACTATCGTGTGCACGTGATGTCCAAAGATTAAAGGTCAAAGAAACCGTATCTGACGTCTTTGAAATAAGATCCATAATTTCTGTTTTTGCTGAATTATAGGTATTAAATATAACTGTTTTGATTGTATCAACACATGGTATTTCAAATCGAGGATCGATACTTTTTACCCAAAGCCTAAAGTCATCGATTTCAACAATATGAATAGGCCGAACACATGTAACTATATAGCGCACAAGTTGACATGTTAGTTTGGTTTGAATAAAAGAAGAATATAGTCTCATAATTACTTGCTGAATCGTTTGTTGGTGAACTTTTACTGATTTATCTGTGAGCGATTCTTTAGTAATATGATGTATATCACGAAGATGATTATTAAATTACTAGTTGAACCTTTCCACAAATACTCTGTATCACATTCTTCAAATAAACATTGAACCTTTTCTGCTTGTTGTTCTTGATTATCTGATAATAATATTGAAGCCGTATATTTTTTAAAAAATTGCCAAACAAAACTTCCTGACTTTCTTTTTTTTTTTCCTTCTTTGATAATATTAGAAGATGTAGATGTAGAACCTAATAAATCACCATCACTATTGTTTGTTTCTTCATCTTTATCAGATGAAGAAATAACCTCATCATCATAGCTATCCATCGTAGACTTTTTTTTTACTATAAAGAATGGCTTATTATTTATTCCCCTTTGGCCTGTCCACCCTTTATATTATCTAACAGTAATATTGGCGTTAAAGATACTTACATTATTTAACTGGTTCTATACAAGATAAATTCAGACATAAAATTTTACTTGAAAATTATCCCCCTTATTGTTATTTTTTATGTAATTAACATATAACTTTTACAAATAAAGTATTATTTATTGTTATGTTTCATGTTTCATATTATTTGCATGATTCTATTATAATTTTAATTGACTAATTAAAGTTAGAATGCAGAGATAAGATGAGGCTTTTACGTTCAATTACCTTATAGGTATGACACTTTTATGTTTCTAGTCATTGCATCTTTTTCCTTACAATGTCTGTTGTCTTTTATATGATAAAACAAACATCTTTTTATTCATAAATTGGTTATGAACCAGCAAATTAAATAAATAATTTCTTAATTATTTTTTTATTGAAAAAAATTGTCTTTTCATACACGCACCTTCTTCCTTTATTCCTTACAACGTCACCTTTTATTAACAACCAACACCACAAACGGGATATGTACCGGTTAATTAAATATTTTTTACTTTGGTACGTAAGAAAAAAAAAAAATCTCTTTATATACGTACAATTGATTACAAATATTAAATCAATCATATGTATTACGTTATACAATAAACTTTAATAAACTTTGCATGCAGAGGCATGGGTAAAAAAATAATCGATAATTTAAAATTTGATTAGTTAAAACTAAAGATTAACTTCACGTTGTCTCGCAATACCCTTTTATGGTTTTTTTTTTACCGATTGACCAATCGATTATATCTAACATTTTATAGCTTGCTCACGTGAATTTCGAAACTTTTAATCAAAAAAACTGTAGATTTTTATTAGCTGTTTCGTTTTAAAATGCCAAAAATTTAATGTAATATCTTTGTGTTATGTACTGGCATTGTTAGAATCGCTTCTAGTAAAAGTTGGTGGAACACTTGATCTCAAACGTTTAAATGAAAGCTATGCTTCTAAAAAACAATTTAACAAAATTTTAGATTATCTTAGTTATAAAAAATTTTAAATTTTCTATTGTAAAACAATATAAAAATTTGCGTAACAGTACTTTTCAATAGAAAATTAACAACAACATGCTCTTTCGATGATTTAACCAATACAAGGCAAACTCGATAAGCTGAAGTTTCCTATTAATTACTATATAAAACTCGGCTTAACGTGAAATTTAATAATATAAAAATTCAATAAGCCGAATATTTAGGTCTCCTTCACGTTCTTCGGATTATCAAGTTTGCCTTGTAGTTCACCAATCACTAGTTGTGATTAAGTTACACAATATCCCTTTACAAGTTGGCAACTAACAACTAATCGCAATCGAACCAGTTGCTAATTAATCGATTAGTTGTTTTAAATTTTTATCAATCGATTAGTTGTAAAGTTGTTAACTAGTTGATTTTTCAACTAACGATTCGGATCACTATTGCGGGTGTTGCGAGATATTGCCTAGCAAACTTACTAATAATAGGAAAAAAAGCCTTTTGAGAATTCCACCAGTCAAACGGATTCGACTTGTAGAAGATTTCGAATAAAGAAAGATAATTATCAACTTCATCGTTTGATTCGTTGGAGATATCTTGTATAAAGACTGTTTTTAAAAATGATTTTTGATAAACTTGACTTCCTTGGTTATTTTGATCTTCATTAGGACTAAAAGATTTAGTAGATAAAGTTGTTGAAGATTGATAGAGGGATTTGGCATTGTTATACTTAGTGCGCAGGGCAGCCTCAGCTTCACGTCGTTGAGATATGGTTGCAAATCGCAACTTTTTGCATCTTGGGTCAAGAAGGCAAGCGAGAAATACTTCACCATCAGATAAGTCCCAATAGTGCAAAAGTGCACTATACAGAGCATTTTTAATTTTGTGCCTCATATTTGCAGTATTAGTAGGTGTATTAATACTAATTTTTCTTTTTTTTAGTCCTTCTTCTTCTTCTTCCTAAGCGTCAATGTATTCAACATCTTCATTAAATGCTAAATCATCCATTTCAAAATTTATTTCATCATCTAATTCTTCATCATAAGAGCTTGTAGAACTAGCTAATTTTTGCATTAGTGCCAAAATAGACGGAAACATGTATGAAATAGTAACATATTCTGAACCACCAAGCTCCTTCGTGGTTTCATAGAAAGGACCTAAGATTACAACAAGATCTTTCATTAAATCCTACTCATCTTCGGTTAGTTGTATTTGCTTTAATCTTCTTGCATCTTTACGGGCTTCAGAAGCAGTAAAGACAGTTAATGTTGTTAAGACAATATTGATGGCATCCTTGATAAGTAAAAGGCGTTCCTAAGCTAAAAAAGATGAATTCCATCGCGTGGGTACATCCATTTTTGCGCGAAGGTACGTCGAAGTTTTCTTAATCATCTATTATTAAAATAGTTTAGTATTGGAATGAAGAATTAGTAAATAAATATATTATATTTTTATCTGAAATTTTCATCGTCTTCTGAGCATCTTCTAGTCGTTCATTTTGTTTTGGTGCCATAAAAAAATTTATTAATCGTTTGGCCCTTATTACAAGCTTTTCGGCTAGCATCAGACCTTTTCCTACGACGAGTTGTAGAGTATGAGCGGAACAAGGTATCCTTATGATATTGTTCATGTTATTGATTGCAGCCTTCATATTTGCTCCGTTATCAGTCGTGATCGAATATACCTTTTCTGTAAGACCCCAATCAGAAATTATGTCTTCTAGTTTTTCTTGAATAGTGTCAGCAGTATGTGGATATTTAACATAAGTTAAAGAAAGCAAGATTTCATGGATTTTAAATTCAGGGTCAATCCACGAACAGGTGACGCCAAGATATCCTTGCTTGTTGCGAGCTGTCCACAGATCTGTGGTAAGTGAGCAAGTTATCACACTATTTTGTAACTTTTCCTGCATACTTCCAGCACACTGATTATATAACATATAAATCGTTTGTTTTATTCTTTTTTTACTAGGCAAAATAAACATTGGATCTAATTCTTTCACGAACTCGCAAAAAAATTGACTTGATACAAGGTTAAATGGCTGAGCATCGCAGATAATAAATTTAATAAGAGCCATAATAAGCTTGTTATTTTTTGATTTATTATGTTGGTAAGTAGTTATAGTTGCTACAAACGAGTCGATTTTAGTTTGCTTAGAATGCTATGTAAAATGATATTAGTTAAATTTTTTAATTGCAAATAAATTATTAATTTAATAGTTTATTTACATCATGTTCAGATAACTTGGGTCCATCCTTCGTAATGCTATGGATGTTTGAAAGATGGGATATCAAATTTGATATTGAGCCGCCTGTTAATTTCAATTGAGACTTACATTCCTGATCAGAATTATTCA